GGACTACCACGGCCCTGTTTACTGGGCTACCACAGCCCTGTTTACTGGGCTACCACGGCCCTGTTTACTGGACTACCACGGCCCTGTTTACTGGACTACCACAGCCCTGTTTACTGGGCTACCACGGCCCTTTTACTGGACTACCACGGCCCTGTTTACTGGACTACCACGGCCCTGTTTACTGGGCTACCACGGCCCTGTTTACTGGGCTACCACGGCCCTTTTACTGGACTACCACGGCCCTGTTTACTGGACTACCACGGCCCTGTTTACTTGGCTACCACAGCCCTGTTTACTGGGCTACCACGGCCCTTTTACTGGACTACCACGGCCCTGTTTACTGGACTACCACGGCCCTGTTTACTGGGCTACCACGGCCCTGTTTACTGGGCTACCACGGCCCTGTTTACTGGACTACCTTGGCCCTGTTTACTGGACTACCACGGCCCTTTTTACTGGACTACTATGCCTCTGTTTATTAGACAGTCAGGTACCGGTTCACGAACCTCTGCGATGCACTAAAGTCTCGGCTGAACCGGTCATAAACAAAGTCTTGAATGTTTGCATAAAGCTTAATCTTGATGTCAGATGTTTATATGTATGACCAAGTTGATCTGCGAACCATGCAAGAAACTGCATAGAAACTGCTACTTCTGCTGCTGCTACTGCTGCTGCTACCTGGTGCTGCTACTGCTGCTGCTACTGCTGCTGCTGCCTGCTGTTAGCTGTCCTGATCGCTGTTCTCCAAGGAATAACTTTAAGGTTACGGACGTCATACTTGAGCTTTACGTGGGAACACGAATTTTTATTTAAATTTAGAAAACGACACTGAATTCATGTAAGCAATATAAGGAAGTATGAGGTGAATGCTTGCGTCCTCTCTATCATGCTACCATGGACCACAGTAATCATATATATGTGTATATATGTATATATGTATATATATATATATATATATATATATATATATATATATATATATATATATATATATATATATATATATATAAAGATAGATAGATAGATAGATAGATAGATGAATTTTCTACCTCTATTGTTAATCGAAAACCTAAGACTGCTGGAGAAATAATTACAAATGACGCTCATGCTCTCCAGGAACCATGACTCGACCCTTGCTACCCCAAATAGGTGAGTACTCAATTTCCTCTCCCCCTCCAAAGCTTATATAGTTTATTCTCTATTTTTTCCATCCATGACATTCTGTTTCGCTTTTTAAATTTGTTCGATATATATTTTTTGCCAGAAGTTTAGACATAGATGTTCTTTGTCCCCTTGCGGGCTAGTTTTCCGAGGGGAATATAGATAGTGTAGACAGTGGATGGAAAAGGGAGTCACAGATAGGATGAAGATAAGAGGGACAGAGGGAAAAGAGGAGAAAAGACAGAGGGAATGGATGATTGAGAAATTCAACTTTCAACCTTCTTATCAACCCATTATCTATTACATATTTCTCTCTCTCTCTCTCTCTCTCTCTCTCTCTCTCTCTCTCTCTCTCTCTCTCCCCACCCTTCGCCATTATCCCTGCTACCTCATATTCTCGGCCTGATTACACTTCAGAATTTCTGTCTCATTCATTCCCATCTAATATCATTCGTGTGAATAATGTTTCTTCAGTAATGTAGTTACACATTTTCTTAGTTATTTACTCTAAATTTACATCGATCACATTGTGTTCAAACCATAGAATATATATATATATATATATATATATATATATATATATATATATATATATATATATATATATATATATATATATATATATATATATATATATGCAAGGAATTCGCAAGAGCAGGCGAAATATACACATATACACATAAATATTGCATTGTTAAAATCTCTAGTAAGGCTGATGCATGCAGGGGATGAGATGAAAAGCTGTAAGCCTTCTCCCTTGGATTAACGTCTAGGGCAAGCTGGGCACCAAGGTATTGGTCCAGTGTGGTGAGAATGGTAAAGCACTGCGTACCTTGTTCCAAGGTTCGTAGGTTCGAGTCTCCTTCGGCCAGAGATCGATGTTTATATATATATATATTTTATATATATATATATATATATATATATATATATATATATATCAGTAACAATACTGCGCTAGCCAAGGATTCGAACCCATGTTGTACTGGCCTGCCTCATGGTAAGCGAGAACCACATGACGCTTTAAACCACAGAACCACCCAACCCTGGGGTTTAAAGCGTCATGTGGTTCTCGCTTACCATGAGGCAGGCCAGAACAACATGGGTTCGAATCCTTGGCTAGCACAGTGTTGTTATTGATCAATACCACTCGTTCGTGGTATTGATCAATCATGGTATTTTACAATCATTCATTATATATATATACATATATATACATATATATATATATTATATATATATATATATATATATATATATATATATATATATATATATATATATATATATATATATAAGGGGTGTACTTCTCTATGTATATACACTTACTGAATACTCTGATGTCTATTTTAAGCATTGACAGGGGATATGGAATCTTAATTACTTTCGTGTAGTCCAAATAATTTTAACCTAATTAACTATCTTGTAAAATATAATTAACATTTTATAAATAAGAGACAGAAATGGTCAAAAACGTGGAATAATGTAGACAGGAGTTTTTCTAAATGAGTTTTGGAGACTGTGCCACTCACGCTAAGGGAAAAGCACCCTTATCTTTGGACTCTGAGACATAGAGTGCCATTCTCCTGGGAGACAGAGTGCCAGACTCCTGAGAGATAGAGTGCCAGGCTCATTAAAGAGACAGTTTGCTTACTCTATTGTCTTCTCTCCTTTATGGGACGCTCCCTACTTTCTGCCATGATGGAAGTGAAAATTATGCAGGTCTGATGAGAATGTTGATTATTATATTATTATTATTATTATTATTATTATTATTATTATTATTTTATTATTATTATTATTATTATTATTATTATTATTATTATTATTATTATTATTATTATTATTATTATTATTATTATTATTATTATTATTATTATTATTATTATTATTATTATTATTATTATTATTATTATATATATTATTTATTATTTATTATTATTTATTATTATTATCATTATTATTATTATTATTATTATTATTATTATTATTATTATTATTATTATTATTATTATTATATTATTATTATCATTATTATTATATTATTATTATTATTATTATTATTATTATTATTATTATTATTATTATTATCATCATTATTATTATTATTATTATTATTATTATTATTATTATTATCATTATTATTATTAATATTATTATTATTATAGTAGTAGTAGTAGTAATAGTAGTAGTAGTGGAAGTAGTAGTAGTAGTAGTAGTTGTAGTAGGTGTAGCAGAAGTAGTAGTAGGAGTAGTAGTAGTTGTTTTTGTAGCAGTAGTAGCAATATTAGTAGCAGTAGTAGCAGCAGTAGTAATAGCAGCAGTGTAGTACATATAATATCGTTATATGACGTAGAGCGCTAAACCCGCAGTATTTGATGCAGCACACTGTAAGGACGTCACATTATCTATCAAGCTAGCCTCGATATTTACGTTTTATCTACACCTATATCTATCTATTTCCTATACCCATATGTTTCCCCATTTGTTCAATATTTAGCTCATCTTAATTAATCCTTAATCAAAAAGCCATGGAAAAGAATCAAAACAGAAGATATATTGACAAAATGGAAAATCAGTTTGTTGATGGTGTGGGGGATATATAATCACCATTCCAGTTATCGTAGCTCTGTTTCTAATCATTCTTAAATCATTCGAAAGGGTGTATGGAATACTGTCCGCGGGAAGAAATCCGTACAGGAAATAGACAGGAAATTTAAGTATCCATGGGGAGAAATGAGTTGGGAAATGTAGCGTGACTGTGGCAGATTCTGACTGTGAGTTATGGCTGGTGTTCCCAGAAGTTGAAGGTCCTCACGCCTGTGTGCCAGCCTCACTCTGATGATGCTAATACAACTATCATCACCACTACTACTACTACTACTACTATAATAGTAATAATAATAATAATAATAATAATAATAATAATAATAATAATAATAATAATAATAATAATAATAGGAACAATATCAATTACAAAAACATTAACAACAGCATCAGCAACAACAATATCAACAGCAATAGCAACAGCATCATCAACAACATCAACAGCATCGTCAACAACAGTAACAACATTCTTCAGCATATCTGCTGAAGAGGGTATTCCGGGGGTCAACGCCCCCGGGGCCCGGTCCATGACCAGGAGAATAATTATTTGAATTAATGCTCTTACATATTGGATAAGTATAGTAGAAGTAAGAATGAATATTCTAGCTATTGTATTAATGTTTGATCTACATAGAAAGATGGAGACTGAATTTTTTTGTATGTCAATATTGGAATTAAATAGAGTGAGCTATTTACAGATAGGGAGATATATTTTCCTTTCAAGTCATATTATATATTTTTGTATATAGTGTATATTCCTCGATGTATATGTACAGAGGCAAACAGTGTATACATTCACAAGTGGATGTATGTTTCAATGAGTATCAGATGAGAATATACTTGAAATCCTTCTTTTAAGAATTTAAGTTTTCAAGACTGGTGGAGTCTGATGATCCTCGCGCCGTCGACAGGCTTGAAACCTAACCATGATGTTTGGTCAGGGACTTTTAATCGGAGGAATTGGAGCTACTCGCCCTTTCAATGGATCGAAAATGATCTGCTGTCTCTCTCCCAGGCTCTGTATGACACCTACTGATTTAACGCTCTCCCATGAATATAATTATCATAATATATTTATTATTTTGTGAAAAGAATAAAGAAAGAGAAGTGGCTCACACGAACATTGTTCTACTATATAATTCGAGACTCGTACGAAATTGGATCTTTTTTCTTCTTACGAAGGTGATCTTATAAATTGTGTGAACTGAGACTTGAAACATAATAATTCCCACCTTGTTCCCTCCTGTTGCGAGCTGCCCGTTGCTCGTGATGACCCGAGTGGTGACCTCTCATGTGACCAGAATGATAGCCAGCGGCTTCCTTGGTCATCATTCCGGCCACTAAGACCAGCAGGAGGAGTAGAATGTGACCACTAATGCAGGGTGTGACCACGTACATGATGGCTACTTAGCTACTAGGAGACGATGAACCAGGAGGGTCACGCTTGCAAGACCCTACGCTGGAGGCAGGAGCAACTGAGGGTGTTCATAATACGTTCAGCACTGCTACGGGAGGCCGCGGAGCGATATCCTGCCGCACGATAGCACAATAGAAGCACAGTATTCCCTCACTGGACGAGAGAGGAGAGCGGCACGCGGGGAGGGGATGTACATTCATGGACGGGGAGCGGAAAGCGGGAGGCGTCGACACCGCTGCTGACGCTGTACTGAGCAGAGGAGGGGAAACAAACTAGCAGCAGACCCACGTGTGCACTGAGAGCAGACGCTTGCTCTCTCTCTCTCTCTCTCTCTCTCTCTCTCTCTCTCTCTCTCTCTCTCTCTCTCTCTCTCTCTCTCTCTCTCTCTCTCTCTCTCTCTCTCTCTCTCTCTCTCTCTCTCTCTCTCTCTCTCTCTCTCTCTCTCTCTCTCTCTTTCCCTCTTTCTCTCATTTCCTCTTCTGGTTGGTAGTTCCATCTCACCCGCGTACTGCTGCACCACCCCGTTCTGCCTCGGAGGCACAGCTCTGCCTGACGGGTTACTGTTCTTTTTTTTTTTTTGCCTTTCACACACACTGTATGTCAGAGGCTGCTCTCTCTCTCTCTCTCTCTCTCTCTCTCTCTCTCTCTCTCTCTCTCTCTCTCTCTCTCTCTCTCTCAGTAAAATGGAAGAGAAACTTAGTGAGTCCGAAACTAAGCATCACTAAATAACAACTCTTGGAAAAGGTTAATCGCCGCTGTAAAACGGGCAGAATTATGCCCACAAGTTCGTAAACAAAGCACTAAGTCCCGCTTATGGCATTTTGCTAAGAAGATGATGCTCCAACCACCAGTGAGAGGAGAGTGCAACGGACAAGGATAGTAGTAGCAGCAGCAACATACACATCAAGAGGCATTCTTGAGCTTCCCCAGCGCTCGGGCTTAATGCCCAAAGCTGGGGTGTGGCTCCAAAAGAATCCTGCAGTGCTTGCTGCCTTTGCACCTCCTGATATCGTTTGCTGCTATGCAGCTGCCACACCATTCAAGCCCAGTGTGGGCGGGGTTTGTGGCAGCCCAAAGTGCCTAGCTTCTCCCTCCGAGCCCCGTGGGGGGAGAGGAATGGGGCTAGGCCTGGGGACAGCTGGTCCCAGAAGATGAGGAGGTACTTGTACCTCCTCCCATGGCAGACATTGGTCTGTGACACTCCTTTTACAGGGAGCCAAGGCTGGGCCACCTCTTGCAAAAGGCTAGGGCCGGGCGATTATACCTGCGAATCTACAACAGAACAGAACCACCAGTGATTCATCAGTCCATAGAAAGACAAGAGACAGAAGAGAAGTGCATTGAAAAATAAACCGAGAGAGTTGAATCCTATATGCAAGGATGGTATATTGGCTTACTAGTTTTAATCCTGGCTTGCCATGGATTCCTGTACACTGTTTTTTCAGCTTCTCATCTGAGACAAGGTAGCAGAGAATATCCAGAAATTCCATGTGTGGAGTATTGATATGTCAGCTGTCGACAGAGAAGCCAAGGATAAAGCACTGTTTCAATGGCTGGTTGTTTCACATTTTCCTCACTTAAAGCAGACATTCAGAGAGAGAAACCCACTTTCGCGTATAAGCCGCCACCTCCGATCCAAAAATAATAATAATATTAATCTTTATTTCTACAAGTACATGTACAAGGTATACAGGCCTAACTGACATCAGTGACATACTACTATATAGAAAGCCCCTTGTTATGCGACCCACACCAATCGACTTACACCCTGGTACCTATTTTACTGATAGGTGAACATGGACAGCAGATGCATTAAGAAAACATCATAATGTTTACACCTATACCGGGTGTGTGAGCTGAGTGCTCTAGCAATCCAGCACGGGACACCTTTGCAATCATCCATTACGACCTGGCGAGTCAGACTAGGGAATTTATAATGGCTGAGGAGGTCCGTAACGTACGAACCTGTAGCTTATATGATAACACTCGCAGACTTACCGAGAATAAGATTAGCCAGTGCTTCTGAAACTGATAAGGAACTTAAGTGTTGTGATAGTTTTAGTTGTGGCGATCAATGCTGATCGCAGTCTGTTTGGGTAATACAGTAATGTGAATATGAAAAGGGTATACAATACCGACAGGTTGATGAATAAGACACAAATGCAACAATTGAGACACTTATGCAACATATGATAATCTTTATTGAAGAAACGTTTCGCCACACAGTGGCAGGTGCCACTGTGATGCTGCCTCCTCCTGCTTCGATTCACCTGACTGCAGTATACAAGCCACCTGTCTGGCCCTATGCTGTACTTCCTACAAGAGTGATGGACTGAACACATCGATTCCAGGCTGAGGGACTGATTACCTCAAACTTCTCCTCTCCTTCCCCATTTCTACTTTGTATTGGACTGATGAAGCCACTGTGTGGCGAAACATTTCTTCAATAAAGATTACCATATGTTGCATAAGTATCTCAATTCTTCAACTTGTCGGTTTTCAAAACCATTCATCACAAATCCAACAGCTAGGGGAATCCGTGCACCCCAGGTTGGGGACCTCCGGCTTAAAGTTAATTGTACAAGTGTTGCTAGTGTCATCTTTCTGGCAAGCGCGTCCTTGTGTTCAGGTCTTTGGAAGCCTCGCCAGGGTAATATCTCTTATACAGTCTGCACTGGAATCTCTGAGTTCGGTTGTCATCTTTGACTAAATCTTACATTGTACTGGTTGGTATGTTAACAAGTCTGAAGTCACGAAATACGTTACTTAGTGAGCGGAAGATGCGTTACTGAAGTAGATTTGGGCATTTACATAGGATGGAGCAGAATAGGATGAGTAAGAGGGTGTAGGTATCGAGAGATGAAGAAAGGAAAGTTAACGGGTCGTCCCTTTTTGGGGGTTTAGAGGGTGTGTGAAAAGAGATTTAAACTAGCAGGAGTTTGAACATCCAGCAGATGTGTGAAAGCATGTTAAATCGGGATTAGTCAAAATAAGGGCTTTCAGGGATTTGACATCCGTTTGAAATGAGAATAAGATAACGTTTACGAAGGGATTCAGAGAAACTGGTTACCCAGACTTGAGTTCTAGAAACGGGAAATACATTCCCGAGCTCTGTAGTGGGGGTGGGGATGCTGCAGCGCAGAGTCATTTAAATTATGATGTCTGTAGCACTTTTGACAGGTGTGTTTAGTTTTTTGGAGATTATCCCGAAAAAAAGATTATATGTACACACACACACACACACGCACACACACACACACACACACCCCACACACACACACACACACACACAACACACACACACACACACACACACACCCCATATATATATATATATATTATATATTATATAATTATATATATATATAATATATTATATATATATATATATATAGTACTACCGTCCTGCCAGATGACTGTGAAACAGAAACCTGTAACTGTTTTGCATGATGGTAGGATTGCTGGTGTCTTTCTGTCTCATAAACACGCTAGATAACAGGGATATCTTGCTACTCCAACTTACACTTTGGTCACACTTCACAGACATGCACATGCATATATATATACATACATCTAGGTTTTTCTCCTTTTTCAACATAGCTCTTGTTCTTCTTTATTTCTTCTATTGTCCATGGGGAAGTGGAAAAGAATCTTTCCTCCTTAAGCCATGCGTGTCGTATGAGGCGACTAAAATGCCGGGAGCAATGGGCTAATAACCCCTTCTCCTGTAGACATTTACTAAAAAAGAGAAGAAGAAAAACTTCATAAAAATGGGATGCTTGAATGTGTGGGGATGTAGTGCAGATGACAAGAAACAGATGATTGCTGATGTTATGAATGAAAAGAAGTTGGATGTCCTGGCCCTAAGCGAAACAAAGCTGAAGGGGGTAGGGGAGTTTCGGTGGGGGGTAAATAAATGGGATTAAATCTGGAGTATCTGAGAGAGTTAGAGCAAAGGAAGGGGTAGCAGTAATGTTGAATGATCAGTTATGGAAGGAGAAAAGAGAATATGAATGTGTAAATGCAAGAATTATGTGGATTAAAGTAAAGGTTGGATGCGAGAAGTGGGTCATAATAAGCGTGTATGCACCTGGAGAAGAGAGGAATGCAGAGGAGAGAGAGAGATTTTGGGAGATGTTAAGTGAATGTATAGGAGCCTTTGAACCAAGTGAGAGAGTAATTGTGGTAGGAGACCTGAATGCTAAAGTAGGAGAAACTTTTAGAGAGGGTGTGGTAGGTAAGTTTGGGGTGCCAGGTGTAAATGATAATGGGAGCCCTTTGATTGAACTTTGTATAGAAAGGGGTTTAGTTATAGGTAATACATATTTTAAGAAAAAGAGGATAATAAGTATACAAGATATGATGTAGGGCGAAATGACAGTAGTTTGTTGGATTATGTATTGGTAGATAAAAGACTGTTGAGTAGACTTCAGGATGTACATGTTTATAGAGGGCCACAGATATATCAGATCACTTTCTAGTTGTAGCTACACTGAGAGTAAAAGGTAGATGGGATACAAGGAGAATAGAAGCATCAGGGAAGAGAGAGGTGAAGGTTTATAAACTAAAAGAGGAGGCAGTTAGGAAAGATATAAACAGCTATTGGAGGATAGATGGGCTAATGAGAGCATAGGCAATGGGGTCGAAGAGTATGGGGTAGGTTTAAAAATGTAGTGTTAGAGTGTTCAGCAGAAGTTTGTGGTTACAGGAAGTGGGTGCGGGAGGGAAGAGGAGCGATTGGTGGAATGATGATGTAAAGAGAGTAGTAAGGGAGAAAAAGTTAGCATATGAGAAGTTTTTACAAAGTAGAAGTGATGCAAGGAGGGAAGAGTATATGGAGAAAAAGAGAGAGGTTAAGAGAGTGGTGAAGCAATGTAAAAAGAGAGCAAATGAGAGAGTGGGTGAGATGTTATCAACAAATTTTGTTGAAAATAAGAAAAAGTTTTGGAGTGAGATTAACAAGTTAAGGAAGCCTAGAGAACAAATGGATTTGTCAGTTAAAAATAGGAGAGGAGAGTTAATAAATGGAGAGTTAGAGGTATTGGGAAGATGGAGGGAATATTTTGAGGAATTGTTAAATGTTGATGAAGATAGGGAAGCTGTGATTTCGTGTATAGGGCAAGGAGGGAATAACATCTTGTAGGAGTGAGGAAGAGCCAGTTGTGAGTGTGGGGGAAGTTCGTGAGGCAGTAGGTAAAATGAAAGGGGTAAGGCAGCCGGGATTGATGGGATAAGGATAGAAATGTTAAAAGCAGGTGGGGATATAGTTTTGGGGTGGTTGGTGCAATTATTTAATAAATGTATGGAAGAGGGTAAGGTACCTAGGAATTGGCAGAGAGCATGCATAGTTCCTTTGTATAAAGGCAAAGGGGACAAAAGAGAGTGCAAAAATTATAGGGGGATAAGTCTGTTGAGTATACCTGGTAAAGTGTATGGTAGAGTTATTATTGAAAGAATTAAAAGTAAGACTGAGAATAGGATAGC